TTTTATTCTACAGAAAGCATAAAACTTGCAAAATTCCTTATCTTTTCTCTTCATATACATGCATACATGCATACATATATATCCAAGGAAACCTCGTCAAATTACGCAAAATCCACTCACAGGGCCACAGAGTGTTTGCCATTTTTTTACTGGATCACTACTATTTCGCCTCTCAGATAGGCATACTTTTAGGCGGTCATCTTTTGGGAATTGGGAGAGGATAGATACATTGAAAACAAACAAAGCGGATGACTTGTCCAGGATAAGCTTAAATCTTTGACAAACAACCGTATGGCACACCTCTGTCCGCTGTGTCTGTATGCTAAATTTTAATTATATTGCAAATAATCAGACAAGTACAAAGGCTTTTTTCAAGGCTGTTCCAGTTTCATCCAATCCCATCCAATCCTTTATATAATCCCATTCGTATTATTCCCAGTGTCTACTGCAGAGCCGAGTGCTGACAAGACTATCATTTGTCCTATCTTTCTGGTTCAATGCTCAATTATTTTGGTGCAACACATCATCTTCAACTTGGTTGGAGAAGGAGGCATGCACACACAAAACACAACACATGGCTCTTTTTTCTCACTGCCTCTAATCTCTCTCTAAAATTGGCTCTTAGAGTCAGTACATCAGTGTCCTTCTCCAATCCATAATTTTATAAGCAATTAAGACTTATCTCAGTAATTGTCCAAATCGTTGACCTCCTTTTTTTCTTTTCTTTTTGGATCCTTATAATTCAATTTAGGCCGTAGTGATTGATTGGTGATAATAAATGAGCTCTGCAAGATGAAGACTTTCCAAACAATGTTTCTCTGCATATTTGAAAATTCTCTTCTTTTTCGGCATGATTATTTACTCCTCCATCCAGCAATTATCATCCAACAACCCTACATGAAGATCCTATACTGAAAACGAAATTGGGTGGTCAACTGGGTTGGTTTGGTTAGGTTGGCAAACAAATTTTGGGCTGTAGGGTCTTTTGCTGGCCCACTGTGATAATGCCAAAAGGACTGCTGTTGTTAGAAACATTATACTGATCCAGGCAAATACTTAATGCAACTGGCAGACATATGATATTGAAGAGGCAAATACCAATTTGTTCTTTTTAATACCTACGTGTTGAAGGTTATCTAATGAAGTTATTCTTTGATAAATAAATAAAAATAGAATGTGGTGTCCGCCTAGCGAATGCGGGGTATGCAGTGTTCGGAATTGATTACGAAGGACATGGACGCTCGAGAGGGGCCAGATGTTACATTAAGAAGTTTGAAAACATAGTGAATGATTGCAATGAATTCTTCAAGTCCATTTGTGGTATGTTTAATCCAATCCAATCCTCCCATTTAAAAACTAATCCCAATCTTGGTTCTTGGGTACCCTCTACCCTGTGATTTTAATTAAACTTTGCACTAAAATGGTGTTCCAGCGGAGGAAGAGTACAGGGACAAGTGCAGGTTCTTGTATGGAGAATCCATGGGAGGGGCAGTAGCCCTTCTGCTTCACAAGAAGGAGCCGACCTTTTGGAATGGTGCTGTTCTTGTTGCACCCATGTGTAAGGTGGTGATTTGATTTGCGTGTTAAGTTTTTAATTTGGTTTGTTTGGTGAAGCGTTGGTTTACCAAATCAAAACTGATCGTTTTATCCATTCCAATATTGTTAATTAAGATATCAGAGAAGGTCAAACCGCATCCGCTGGTTATCAATGTGTTGACCAGAGTGGAGGAGATTATACCCAAATGGAAGATAGTGCCTACAAAAGACGTCATTGACTCGGCCTTCAAAGATCCTGTAAAACGCGAAGAGGTGACAAAGACAATTAAATAAACACTATTTTCATTTTATTTGGTGACAATTAAGAGAATGAATGGGTTCAAATTTCAGATAAGGAGCAACAAGCTGATCTACCAAGACAAGCCAAGGCTGAAAACAGCGTTGGAAATGCTCAGAACTAGCATGAGCCTTGAACACACTTTGCATGAGGTGGTTTGATGCTGCTTCCACTTCCATTTGATTCAACATATATATATATATAATTAGTTACTAACAATTG